GGGTTTGATTCCAGCTGAAACCCTGACATTTATTCTTTGCATTTGTCAGATTGACACTATCGATGTCGGGTACTTCTTAACGCTCGTGCATTAAATTTGCCCATGTGAGTTCTCGTCCTTCCTCGGTAGATACTAAGTGTCAATCACTTGTGGTACATGCAGGGATAACAGTGGCGCATACTCGCCCATGGGAGTGTGACATTATTTAAGTTTTGACCAGCGTGTCATATTCGTCAAACCATCCTACCCTCCTATGCTAATTTCGGTTCACGCCAAGTTAAGAAGATGATCACGAGAGCACTCAAACATAAGCGGCTAGATAGGATGGATAAATACGCTCAAAGTCACCAAAGTTCGCTAAAAAATGCTTCACATTTAAAAAAATGAAAACCTGTCAATGAAGTAAATAATAAAGAACTTCAATACGTGTACGAATCTCTGCGCTCTCTGCGCGGCATTCAGGTGCTCTACTACAGAGGCATGCCAATGGTCAAAACTGATTAGAAAAAAAAGTATAATATGAGTGTCATGTAGAAGTTCTCATTTATATTGTGTCTAACCAAATAAATGAGGCCTTATATTCACACTTCTTTCGTTCATATAGTTGAATAAATCTTTTTAACACGTGCAGTATGAAGTGGTAGAAGCGTAGAATTCCACCAGGCGTCAAAACATGTGAAATGCACAAGTGGGTGATTAGAGGCCCATTCATTACAGAGCGCTCAAAAATATGTTCACGTGTTGCCCTATGCATGCGTAGAGGGCCCTTCGTGGATTGGCGTAGTTGACACTTAACAATTGTATTTTCAATAGACACTCTACGAGTTTGAAAAGACCAGTGTTGCGCGCACAGTCGTTCGTTCCCTCACAGCATGGTTGAGGCATAGACCAAGGCCGAATCTATTGGCTAGTAACTGAGATGATTCACACAGGGCCTGGTTACACTATCGCTGTTTACTTTTGTTGGCGAAGCTCAAGCATCGTCCAAGTTTTGTAATTGCTGTGTTTTTAACTGTTGTCTAATTGTTTCAAACACAATACATACATAATACTGAATGGTGTTACTTCTGCCATATTCACTGATTGCTTCTGCATGTAATAATAATGATTATAATAATATAATAATATTAATTAAATAGAATGATAATTTTAATTTACACAACAATATGAACTCTCTGGTAACGTGTAGGTTAGCGAGGAATTTTCTGACGATCGTTTGTCTGCTAATGCGTCACCACAGGACGAAAGAGACCGGGGGCTATATACACGAGTTCTCAACTGCTTATAGCAGCTTTTATCTGGCCCCTGCCACTGTGTAACCATTTTTACAATGAAAAAAAATAAACGAAATTAAACAAACTAACAAGTTGCATGAAGCGGAATTGTCATTGCGGTAGTCACTGTTGGAGCCTGACGCAAAGCAAGTCGGCGTATCTCACTGTAGATAAATCTGCTCCTCCTAGGTGCGCTTTATGCATGACAATGCGTTTTTGTACAAGAAACTACGCTGTGTCAAGAAGAACTCGAAAAGTGACGAGTGAATACAGCGCGCCATTTGCGGTAACTGCTTGCAATCATGCGGCCAATCACAACACGCGTTCTTTGGGCCGTGGGAGCAAATTTTAAGCAAGATTGGACTGCAGCGCCACTAGTCGTACGATTACCTCTTTCCACACCGATGTGAAGCACCCTCTCCTCCGGCCGTGCCGGTCAGTCAACTTTGTTTTCACGCGCACTTTTGTTCGGAAACGACTCGGTATGCCACACCAAAAGCGGGACATCGAGCGGCTGTGCCTGAGTCATCTATAGGGTGTTGCTAGATTATAGTCAGCGTGGACTACCTAACACAAAACTGTAACAATGCAATGGGTTTATTTACAAGATTAAAAAGGGTTAGAGATGCTTTGCCCAGTTCGAAGGGCAGAATGGTCAGCCCTACAACTACTCGCTCCTTGCACCCCCTTCTTCCTCCTCATCTTCGTGGCTCTAGCGAATTCTTGCCGCTTGACATTACTATAGCTTACAGGTTGTTCACCGCTTGACACGACAATGCCGGACGCATTCGAGTGAGCCTTAATGTGAATGAGCACTTCCAAAACGTTGTGGCAGCGATATACTTGAGGGAAAAAAAAGTGAAATTGGGGAAACAAACTATGCATTAGTCCTCGGGTGTGCGGCTCAATCAGCAGCCATTTTTTTTAATTGAGTGTTCATGCATCAGCAAAGATATGGCGTGGGAATTGGAGTTATGTTTGGGAATCATGGCAGTGTACATTGTGGATCTCTGTGCATCAGAAATTTATTACCTTTATTTGCACCAGCATAGATAGAATGATTCCGGATATGTGGGATATGGCAGCCGTTCTGTTCAGCCTCATATCGTAAACAATGCATGATGCAATCTATACTTTTCGCCTTGGTGTGAGTTTCTATGCATGCCCCAAAACGAAGAAGAAGCGGAAGCACATTCGATAAAGCCGAGGATAAGGTATACTAACACAGCATTCACTATAATAATTTGCGTGTGTACCAAGCACTTTCGCGAAAAAGATTTTGTGTATAGTGCGTTATGGCTAAATCTTCAGTGAGTACAACGTGGGACTTTCTGGGAATGTATGCATAGAAATTTGTGATGTTTATTCATCCCATGCTGGCAAGCTTTCTCCAGCAGTCTGCAGTACAAGGGCAGCGAGAATGACTTTGTCCTGATGCTGTTATTTTGCATTGCATATTCGAACGTATCTCCTTCTGTAAGCAGCCATGGTATGTTGAGCTGCTGGTACATGAATCGGTTAATGACAGAGACTGGAAGAGTCACTGAAACAAGAGTGGTATGGTAATTATTAGTAGAGAAAGCGATGCGTGCACATATTGCAATATTCTTGCATCACATCACATCAGTCAATACACCTCCCACAGGTAAGCACGTGTATAAAGTGAGGATTAAGGAAACACAAATATGCGGGTGAAGTTCCTCCTATTGAATTATAGTATGTGTTATAAATAACGTCCAGTAATAAATCTGATGAAAGTTGCTGTTGACAACTACGGTTGTTGGGAACAGTAATGTTATTGCGGCGAAAGAGGTCATGATACCCGCATGAAAGGTCATGCGAACTTAATGACCAATACCAGAGCATCGTTCACTTTCGGCCACATGATACCCCTATTAAGATTAGGGCGACATGTTGTCATGAATCTTGCGTAGCAGTCCATACAGATTGAAACTTTGCCTCTCGGCTGCCCACTTTCCGTGCAAAAGCAAGAGACAGATATGCATCATCGGGCATGCCTTAGTAAGAATAAATGTGTGCAAAATGTGAGAACACTTCTATTACAAATTAGTTTCATAACAATGTATCTTTTACCAGAACACTTCTTCACATGTGTCCATGGCGTCATGTGCACGCGCTCACCGAAAGTGCACGACGAGGCGACTACAGCACGTTGGCTCCCTAAAAATTTTGTTGCCAAACACTCTAAGTTGTTTCTCAGCTAATAAAAACGCTTGCAAAGGAGTAAAGTCGAGTTGCTGAAAACTTCACTCAGTCAATACCATGTGATGTCGTTTAGTCCAAAATTACTAGTCTGGCACACCAAAATTTTGTCAGTAAGTCCGAGTGAGCACAAAGCGCAAAATGATTTCATGAGCGAGTGTGAGTGATTTCCCAAGCTTAGATACAGTCAATGACCAGTGTTCCCAATGTTGACATGACCAGACAAAAAGGAAGTAGAGATAAAACTCCTAGTTGCAAGGTACTGCGCGTGCCACCCCCAGTGGTCTAGTGGCTAAGGCACTTGGCTCCTAACTCGCAGGTCGCGGGATCGAATTCCGGCTGTGCGGCTGCATTTTCTATGGAAGCAAAAATGCTGTAGGCCCGTGTGCTCAAATTTGGGTGCTTCCTAAAGAACCCCAGGTGGTCGAAATTTGTGGAGCCCTCTACTATGGCGTCTCTCATAATCATATGGTGGTTTCAGGATGGACGCGAAACCCCAGATATTACTACTACTACTAACTGCACCGTGTGCTTTACCATGCAACGTTTTTAAATAACACCTGAAATTTCTGTGCCAGCTTCCTTTTAACTACACCAAATTCTACAAATTTTTTGAGGAACTTATCTTGTATTGACTGGATTTTTTGAAGTGCATGTCATAACCTATGGGATCCTAAAAAAATCTTTAATTAGTTATCTGAGATGGGCGTTCCTACTTTTATATGTTAACAAGCTATGCACATTCACCTGGATAGAACTTTCTGGAAAGGCTCCCACTCTGCAACGCTCAATTTGTTTAATGCAGCTGGTGGAGGTTCTGTGAAAAGAAGATTTAGGCAAAGACTCAAACATTAGTGAGGAAGCTATCCCTTTCTTATAACTGTTGAACAAATGCGTCTGTTAAAAACCAGTTTTCTGATACTGGTGTCCTGTACATCATAAATTTCGCCTTTCCTGCTAAAAAAAAATTGAGTAGCACTGATTCGTTTCTGCAGAACATAGCATGATGACACCATTTCGTTATCTAGAAAAGGCGTGATAGCTGCTTCTCAATCTAATCTCTCTTTGTTAACCTTCATGTGTTTTATGATTTTTTAAAATAGATTCAAAAACACTTACCGAAAAGTAAGTATTTTCGAGGTAGTTGTCCTATGGAGACTCTAGATTTGGTCAATTTGTTGCCTCACCTTTATGGCAGGCATGTTGATGGCTGAGTCAGATTTGAGGCAGCAGAGAGTGTAAAGTTTCACTTAATGAAGGAAAAAAACTGACAGCCTCTTACGAAATCGTTCAAATTCCCCATGGCCTCAACTGTGCTGACAATTGAGTCCCATTCTTTTTCACACGCAGTGTGGGTGTTAAAGTCATGAAATGTTTAAAACAAATGATTTCAGATGGCATTTCAATTTGGTTTTGGTGAGGTGCCTTTTCTTTCGTGCCCCCTTTCCACTCGCAAAACAAGGCTAGTTGGGCGTCAATGAATGGATTAATGAACTCTCACAGACACGACGACTTGGTTCCCGGCTCCTGATTGCAGCGGCACTTGGGCCAAGAAATCGAGCACGAGAAGGGCCATGCTTGGCACCGAGCAGCACCACGACAGGGCGGCAGCAGTGGTGCCCTCGCCTGGCCTCAACATGGAGCACGGCTTCTCAGGAAGATAGAGGAAACCAGATCCAGCGGCACTACCAGGTAACATGTCAAGTTGACCAGCACGAATAGGGCCTGCCTTATCGTGCAATTATCAACACATGTGAAAGGTTTTATTTGTTTAGGCAGATTATTTTTGTAAGATTGACGCAACAGTCAGCTTCTTTAGTCTTCATAGATTAGCATATGATTGTTATGTTGATGCAAATATTTGCTGCTCCAAAAGTCTAATTTATCATATTGCTACGATACTGAGGGGACGGGTGGAAGAAGAGAAGAACGAGGTGGGCACGAGCGGTGATCTACCAGATCCCTGGACTCTCGCATTCATAATCTCTCGTAAATAAAGGCATCTCACCGTAACAAGATTGGTGGAGGTGTGGGGTACAGCGGAGCGATCCCAGGCGAACGATCACGGAAGCGCTACCTCAAGAACTACGCCGAAGCCGCCGACTGGCTTGTCTACCACCGCTCTCTATGGATCCGGTTGCTGGCGGCGACACCACGCACTCTTCTTCTGGCGCTACGTGGCCCCGACACATGGTACCACGAAGCTTCTCTGGGAGGGTCGAAGAAGATGTCGACGAATGGCTGAAACACTTCAACCGTGTGAGTAAGTACAGTTGTTGGGATGCGGCCTCCCGGTCGTCCAACGTCGGATTGTTTCTTCAAGGGACGGCGTTGGTGTGGTTTGAAAACCACGAAGAAACAATAGCACCTGGGAGCGTTTGAGAAAGATATAGTGAGCTGCTTCGCGGACCCATTGGTGAAAAAGAAGCGCGCTGAGCAAACTTTGATGCAGCGTGCTCAAGTCCCTGTTGAAACATGCACAACGTATATTGAAGAGATTCTGAAATTGTGCAAGTCTGTAGATCCACGCATGAAAGAAGATGACAAGGTTGGGCGTCTCCTCAAAGGGGTTGCTGAGGACGTCTACAATTTCCTCATCGGCAAGGACACCTTGGCGTCTCTAGCGGACGTAATTCAACACTGCTGCGCGTTCGAGACCCTGAAGGCTAGGCGCATCACTCCCAAATTTGGTAGACTTGCCAACGTCACCACCGTTCCAAGTGTTGACGTCCCTCCAACATCATCCTGTGATCTTGCCTCGATGATTAGGAAAATCGTACGCGAGGAACCTGGACGACGTGATGTTGTCAACCCGCCGAGGGCACATGCTAGCAACGCCTCCCTGCCATACGACGCAATGTGTGCTGCCGTTGATGCCACGCTATATCATGTGCCCCAATCAAGAGCACCAGAGCCCCCAACTGACACCCTACATCATCGCCGTGGTTTCCAGAACGCCTCCCGCCAACCACCTACAATGGTGTCTTCGTGGGACGATCGTGGGTACATGGCGCCTCGCGGAATGTTCGGCGACGTGCGTGAGGTTCTGTGTGCTATAACTGCGGTCTCCGTGGACATGTGGCTCGATTCTGTGGTCAGAGGCGTCGCGCCCAGCAGCGCTACTACGAGGGATCATCAGCTTCTCGACAAAACCGCTGGCGCGGTGGTATGCGCTCGATGCGGGACGCGTGCGTTGGGGACGGCTTCCAGCAAACCACCCTCAGTGATACACGTGTGGGACGCAATTTCCGCTGGAATTCAGGCAAGGACTCTCCTTCCTCCTAGCGAAGCTTAACGCCCCTCGCAACACGCCGGTTCCGTTCCCCGCCTCCTGGTCGACGCGTCACCTCCCTGCCTCCAAGAAACTAGGTGGTGCGGCCAATGGAGGTGAAGTCGCCGAACATCTTTCACTACATCCACCTATGCCTCCACCCATTTTTATGATGCAAAATAAGGTCCCCGTGCTTATTGATGGACTTCCTATGGCTTTGATAGATACTGGAGCAGCTGTTTCAGTGATAAGTCTTAGCTTCAAATTGCGGCTAGGACATAAAGTGATGTTTTGCTGGGACAGTTCCTCTCAATTGCGCCAAGAAAAATGTGCTCGTTCCACATTGTGTTCTGTTGATCAGTGATAAACGATCAGCCTTATGGGTGTCGAACTATTCAAATGAACCTGTCATGCTACCCTGCGGATTGCGACTCTCCTCCTTTGAACAAAACGCGAACAGTTTTATAGCACCTTTAAATGACGTGAGCGTAGATTATATTCGTGCAACGCACTATACTGAAGCCAACTTTCTGAGTATGATAAACAAGTCGCTATCATCAGAAAAACGTCAAGCTTTGGTCAAAGTCCTTGCGAAACACGCTACTATATTTCACTTCGCGCCGAATGAAGAGCAAGTAAGTGTACCCGAGTCGCGTACTCGCCACGAGATTGACACAGGATCCGCCTACCCTATCTGCCAGAAACCATACCATGTTTCATCTGCGGAGCGCAAGGTCATTGCTCAACAGGTAGAAGAAATGTTAAAGAAAAGGGTCATACAAGAGTCGTGTAGCCCTTGGGCTGCCCCTGTGATTCTTGTCTAAAAGAATGATGGTACATGGCGATTCTGCGTGGACTACAGACGGCTCAACTCTGTTACTAAAAAGGATGTCTACCCACTTCCCAGGATTGATGACGTCATCGATCGTTTACTATCAGCATCGTACTTCTCCACGGTGTATTTGAGATCTGATTATTGGCAGATCCCCATGCACCCAAATGACAAAGAGAAAACGGCCTTCATTACCCCAGATGGTCTATTTGAATTCAATGTAATGCCTTTTGGCCTATGCAATGCTCCAGCCACGTTGAGCGCTTCATGGGCTCTATATTACGTGGACTAAAGTGGGAAGTTTGTCTTTGCTGCCTGGATGACATTATATTTTTGGCCGTACATTCGATGAGCCCAACCATTGTTTAGACATTGTTCTCACCTGCCTTGAGAAAGCTAAGCTCTCCTTGATCTCTAAGAAGTGTCACTTCGACAGCCGTGAGACTATCGTTCTTGGTCACCTGGTGGACAAGCATGGCGTTGACCTGACCCCCAGAAAGTCGCTGCAGTCAGCAGCTTCAAACAACCTCAGTCAGTACGAGAGTTGCGAAGCTTTTTGGGCCTATGCTCGTATTTCCGTCGCTTCGTGCCCAAGTTCGCCGACGTCGCTTACCCTTTGACGTCCCTACTCGACAAGAACGCACCTTTTCGGTGGTCAGCGGAATGCGAGTCGTCTTTTTCGCAACTCAAGTTTGTTTTTACGTCAGGGCCGTACTTCGCATCTATGACCCGTCTGCTGCCACAGAAGTTCATACCGACGCCAGTGGTGTAGGTATCGGCACCGTCTTGGTCCAACGCCATGGAGCTGCTGAACACGTCGTTGCCTATGCCAGTCGCTGTTTAAGTAAACCGGAGCGAAACTATACTGTCACAGAGCAGGAATGTCTCGCGGTTATATTCGCCGTGCACAAGTTTCGCCCTTATATCTATGGACGCCGATTCTCGATTATCACGGACCACCATTCTTTATGTTGGCTCACTGGACTACGGGACCCATCTGGTCGTCTTGCTCGTTGGGCGTTACGATTGCAAGAACACGACTTTGAAGTCTGTTACAAGAGTGGTCGTCGTCATGCTGACGCCGATTGCCTTTCACGGCTTCCCCTTCCGACAACCGAGTGTGACGCTGACAACTTTGGTGAATATTTGGGAGTAGTGGATACTCCGTTTCCTGACCTAACAACGTTTCGAGCAGAGCAATGCAGTGACAACAGTCTCGCTTCTTTATTTATTTCCGGAACGAATGGTCAACGTGGTTTCGTCGTAAAGAATGGCGTTCTTTACAAAAAGAATTATTCCGGCGTAGGCTCTTGCCTACTTCTAGTTGTGCCTACCAGTCTGCAACAACACGTACTTCGAGCAATGCACGATGACCCAACATCTGGCCATATGGGTTTTTCTAGGACATTTTATCGCACGCAAGAACGCTTCTTCTGGCCGAAGATGCTTAAAAGTGTCACTGCATATGTTGCGAGCTGTGAGCAATGTCAACGCCACAAGCATCCTACAACTCCGCCAGCTGGACTACTTCATCCCATAGCACCCCCGTGTTCACCATTTGACGTCGTCGGTGTTGACCTGCTCGGCCCTTTTCCGTGATCAACTAACGGCAACCGATAGATTATTGTGGGCGTTGACCACCTCACGTGCTACGTCGAAAATGCGGCGATTCCTGCGGCAATGGCCACTCAAGTTTCACAGTTCATGCTGTTGCACGTTATATTACGCCATGGATATCCCCGTGTCATCATCAGTGATCGCGGGTGGCAATTTGTCGCCGATGTAGTTGAAGACTTCCTTCGTCTCGCTTCGTGTCATTTCCGTCACACTACACCGTATCACCCGCAGGCTAATGGTTTGACGGAACGAACTAATAGGACTCTCGTCAACATAATTTCCATGTATGTTGATTCCGGACACAAAACATGGGACGCGATCTTGCCATTTATAACTTTCGCCTACAGCTCTGCACAGCACGAAATAACGAGATACAGTCCATTTTATCTGCTCTACGCACGCCAACCCCGCACAGCTCTTGACACTATTCTTCCTTTTTCCGAGACTGATAACCTACTCTCGCCGAAACCATTTGCCGTGCAGAAGAGGCCCGGCGCATCGCCTGTCTTCGAACTTCGTCTCCCAGAAACGAACCATTACGACAGACGTCTCCGGCAAGTATTGTTTGAGAAAGGGGATTTGCTGTGGCTTTGGATGCCGCTTCACAAGCGATGGCCTCTGCCAAAAGTTCTGGCCAACTACACTGGTCAGTTGTTGTCCTGGAACGTCTCAGCGATGTCACATAGTGATATCTCGGCTGTGTCAACTGGCCGCCGCTCTTGCAAGACCAACGTCATTCATGTCGAACGTTTAAAGCGCTATCATCATCGAAACGAAGCCTAACTCACCCGGTGGGCATCGTCTTCAAAGGGGGAATCGCTACGATACTGAGGGGACGGGTGGAAGAAGAGAAGAACGAGGTGGGCACGAGCGGTGATCTACCAGATCCCTGGACTCTCGCATTCATCATCTCTCATAAATAAAGGCATCTCACCGTAACAATATTATTAGCTTGAGGGAAGTTGTTTACAA